CCTATCTTTCTCTCTGCAATCAAACCCTGAGAAACCTCAGTAGATGTACATATATTTCGATGTGTAAACAGCATGAGAGGAGAGTTCAGATAATATCTGAAAGAGAAGTTGAAGGACGTAAAACAATATGAATTGTGATATATCTTCCAGCATACAAAAGACATGACAAAATCTCTTAGTAACATTATGGTTCTCTAATATTTTATAGAAATCATACCTTCTAATATTCCTTTTTATTATAGATTTTTTAATTAATTATAACATCACAGATCACATATTATGCCATTGATTGTTTTTTTAATCTTATTAAAACTGACATAATCCATAACAAAGTAGACCATGATATAAATTTCCAACATCGGCTCTATTATATGTGGTTAGATGTTTTGGCCTACGACTTAAGCGATGAGAAATATGAGAATAATTAAAACTCTAACCTAATTTTATATGAGTTAGATGAAAAAAAAACCTAAGTCAAGTAGTCATAAGAAAGAAATAAAGCTTTCGTATAGGAAGAAAAAAGATTCGATTATTATGATTTTTTGGTATGCTAATCTAGATATTATGCACTCTGAATTGATCGGTGTAGATCTTTAGCATTTCTTCTTCTACTCAATTTTTCTATATGGCTTCTTGAAACTCATCAGAGTGTTTAGTTCTCATATGATATTAATATCATCTAGTTAATATAGGAAAGGTGTATTATAATCTTATTATTTTACAATAGAAGATTGATCTCATTCATCCATGATTTTTTTCTTCATAGGTTTTTCACAAAAAAATTGTCTTGTCATTTACTTAGCATTTTGTTACTAATTTGATTGATCTACATTGTTAGATTGTTTACAATATATTTGATATATCTTATTTTATTCATATAAAAAAGAAAAAGTTAATATTGTTTTAAGACTTTGTATCCAATATGTTGTTTTCCATGTTAGTTATGGATCAATTGTGACAGACTATTCAATTATCCATCAACATGGAGCAAATTGCCAAAGGATACTGCCATCCAACATATGCTTCAATTGGATACAATCACACACTTGAATCTCTAGTGGTGATTGCTCTCTCTCTCTCTCTCTCTCTCTCTCTCTCTCTCTCTGTGTGTGTGTGATAATTATGTTGGGGTTTGGCTCCCATGCATTTAGCTCAGTGACAAAAGCTGAAGGGAATAGGTTTTCTACACTCAATTTATTTCCTGTGCTTGAACCCAATACAATTGCCATCCTAAATGGAGATGAACAGATCTCTGTGTTTGATTGCTTCCTACACTCTACTAATCCATTCTCTGATCAATACTTATTTTGTCACATAGAATATCAATACAATACTACTAATTTACTATCAATAAAAATATAAAAAAGGTTGAGTAATAACAAGATAAACAAAGTTGGATCAATACATCTGTGATCCCACTGAATCTGATCCTTTCTTTTGGAGGTAAAGACCATCTTACTGTGAAGAAACCCTACATATCATCCCATGCATTCATTACCTTACGAATATTTTGCAGAAATTAGGTACTTAATTTTGCATTTAGAGAGAGCAGATAGACTCCATCTCTTCCCTCTTCTCGACCACCATGTGTAGCCCACCAGCCATGTGGGCGGTCAGCAGCGGCACCAGTGCCGGCCTCTGCTTCGCGCTCTCCTCCCGCCTCAACTCGAACTCTCTGAGCACCGACGCCGCGACGTACTTCATCTGAACAAAGGCCATCTCCTTCCCCAAGCAGACCCTTGGCCCGGCTTGGAACACCGGGAACTTGAACGGCGACTGTCGCACCAACTCCCCGCTCTCCGACAACCACCTCCTGTAGTCGAACTCCATGCAGTTCTTTCCCCATAGCTTCTCTGACCTCCCCATGCCGTAGGGGAAGTACGTCACTCGATCGCCTTTCTTGATCCGAGTCCCGTCGGGCAGCGTGTCGTTGTAGGCTGCGTGCTTGGAGTCCCACAGCACCGGCGGGTACAGCCTCATGCACTCGCAGAGGCACGCTTCCAACACCTTCATATCCTTCAGTGTGTGGTAGTCTAATCGCCCTTTGGCTTGCTTCGCTTCTTTGGCGACCTCCGTTTCGGCCTCGGGATGGCACGAGAGGAGCCAGAAGAACCATGTCAGAGCGGCGGAGGTCGTGTCTTTCCCGGCCATCACGAAGCTGATGACCATGTCGCGGATCACCTCGTCCTTGTGGCCTCCGACGATGAGCCTCGACAAGAGGTCGTTGTGCTGCGTGCCCTTCTTGATCTCCGTCTTCCTCGTTCTAATTATCTCCATGACGGATGCATGGATTAGCTTCACCGCGGCACGAAGCTGGCCTTCGGAGCCGAGGCCGAGCGCGCGCTTGGCCTTCCACACCGCGAAGACCGGTGCAGCCCCTCGCTTAGCGCTGATGGCCGAGGCGACCTCGAAAGCATCAGCGAGTGGGGACTCGGGCAACGAGGCGTCGAGGAAGCCGGGGTCCGTCCCGAGCGAGACCTTGCAAATGGTATCGAAGGCGAAGCGGCGGAGCAGCTCTTGCATATCGACTACGCCGCGGTGGGCGCACGCCGACGACAGGATCGGTAGCAGCCTCTCTCCGGTCTCGAACTCGAGAGCATTGACGACGAAGTCGCACAGGGACCTGGTGCTGAACTCGTGGCTAGCGAGTTTGCGCTGAGTGTGCCAGAGCTCGCCGTCGGCGCTGAAGATGCCGCAACCGAGGAGGTCGCCGAGGATCTCGGTGAAGGGCCGGCCCTTGGGATAGTTAGGGAAGTTGATCTTGAGTACATGTTCGACGTTCTCGGGGTTGGCAGTCACGATGGTCCGACGAGCCCCGAGGCGGCGCATGACGATCGTCTGCGTCGGCGAGGCCTCGAGGAGCTCGGTGTACCAGTCCAAGAGCCTGTGCCGGTTCTTATAGAACCGAATCAGACACCCGATGACGGGGTGCGTTTTGGGGCCATACGAAGAAGAAACAGCAGCAGAAGAGGAGAGAAGCCTCGATACCAGCAAGAATAAGAAGACGAAGGAAAACAGGAATGGGATGGCAATGGCCATTGAGTGTGGTAACGAAGGCTTTTGTTCTATAGAAGAGAGAGATTTGAGGTCAGGTGTCGGTTGAGAGACAACGGGAAGAGAAAGGATTCTGTTGCCTTATATAGGGAGAGGAGAGGGTACGCTTCACGTCGCAACTAAAGCCGGAATGTAAGCCACGATCGGAGAAACGATATCGGCAATGGTCAAGCGCACGCACCACAAGAGGAGCATATGTGGACCACTCGGAGTACATGTCGTGATTTAAGTCATGAATGTGATTCAAGCAGCAATTGGCTTTTCAGGAGCACGTGCGAAGGTGATCGGGCCAAGACACTCCGCTTTCAATTGCGCATCACGTGCGCCCTTTACATTACACCTCGAGTCGGGTATAATATAACATCATGATGGCAAATCAATTTTATTTTTATTTTATTTGAAAAATATAATATAACAACGTGCATAGATGGCATCAGAACTTGTGCTCCATCGAGCACTGGAAATGGAAAATGTGAGCATAAAAGATTGAGTCCAAATTTGGACACCTTCAAATTGAACTTTATATTTTGTTTAGATTCACACACTAATTGGATGCATGTGTAATATAAAACTAGCTAACCTATTAATTTCGTTAAATTCAGATCACTAATCAAGATATTTAGATTAAAATTGACAATAGTGAATCCTTTAACTTTCTCAACGAATAATTATTTTCTATTTAAATTATTTATTATACCTCAATATTAAATTGACTCTAATATCATTTATCACGATTTAGGTTTGATGGAGTAATTGGTTTATCAACTTTATTAAATTTCAATCATTAATCAAAATATTTAAGTTAAAATTAATAATAATACATTTATCGTATCTTTATAAATTAATTTTAATTTTATTATTTTAAATATAAGACTAATCAGAGTGTTAAAAATAAATGACATAAAGATGCGCGTGATATACCACACCTTAAATCAATATAAAAAGTACAAGTTCATAGCTGAAGGGCCGGCAGCGTTCCTTCCAACCACCGCAGTCCATGTTAGCTCGAATGCGGGCATAGACAGGAGCATGATGTGTCATCATGCACGTGTTTCTCTCTCTATGTATCTCTATAAACTCTGCCATCGAGAGCTCTATAGCGACACATGCCAATATGACACTACTAAACGTGGAAACACCGATACTGTCAGTACGTGGTTTTGGTTCGAGAAAAGAATGCGGCAGAAAACAGAGACTGAAAAGTGCACAGCCGTTATTTTAGGCTTTGCACGTAGAAAATGTTGATACTCCATAACCAAAAGGCCCGGAGATACTAAATATTTTCACGTTGTGATAGCGATATGATCACAGGAAAATATCAAGTGCCCTTGCGACTGTTTGGCTGGCACTGGAGAAGTCAATCCCAGTTCCGGCCACCGTCCATCGGTGTGAAGAAAAATGCTGTGTGCATATATGTGTCACAGCACCACTGGTGCCGTCTTAGATTCATCTTTTATGGACCACTATATCATCCCTTATCGATATCTTTCCTCAAGTCTCGAGACTGTTTTTGCAGTCACGTGTTGATTTGGGACCGTCAGCTGAGAGGTGATCACTCGATGTAGTGATGCAGCGACGAACACATCGCTCTAGGGACTACGGTTTACTTCGCGGCTTCGCATGGAAAGGTTGGATAGATCAGTGGATGTTGACAACCCTTGACGCAGAAGAGTTGGGAGGAGCTAATCTACAACGACAGAAATATGCACGTGAAAGTAGAGGCTAAAAGGAGACGAGTGTGGCTTACAAATAGCCTTCCACGGGAAGCTTTTGATACAACGTGCTTGGAAGGAAAACTTGCATAGTATGATGTGTTCTTCCTTATCTTGCTTCCGTCAGCATTTGGTCCATTGAAGAACAGAAGTCACCTGTATAACCCAAATAGACAGAAAAAAAAAAGAGAGAGGGTCTGAACTTCTGAATAAGAGAATTAACATAGATTGCAGTCAAATGAGTTAGGAATTAAAGAGTTGCCCTTCAAAAAGAAGCTACAAATCATGAAACCAAGTGTCATTTGCTTAATGTTGTCCATTCATTAGCAATTCACTTCAAATCATTTGCTCCAAGTAACTCTAAAAGGAAAGATTACCAGATGATAAAACCAGATGCAAATCTTGGAGTGATAAGGGTAAAACATCTGCAATGATTAACAGGAATTATCAACGAGAACAACTAGAGAGTTGGTGATCAGCAGGACTTTCTTGGAGCCATACAACACTTACCCAACCAATTTGCTCTTGACCACTAGTAACCGATGTTCCAATCATGATGTTTTGACTTGGGCAAAAAAGTGAAACTTTGAACACAGTCAATCAGTATTGCATATGCCCGAAGCTACATCAGGAATATCTACAATAACACAACCTAATTGGTCATCTCTATGCAAAAATGATGTGAGCATTGATATAAGGATTGCGTAATACATTACTGGAAATCTACAAACTCAAGTGAGCATATTGTTAATTAAATTCAATGCAAGCCAAGCCACCACACCCAAGTAACTTCAATTTTCTGGAGATCAACAGAAACAAAATCTCCTTAAGGCTGATTCTCATACATGTAAATTGCTATTAACACAAATAATTGCAAGACCCCTACAGATACACATCTACGGGTAAGATTGTTTAAAGAGCTTAAAGCATATCATGGATCCAACAACAGCTGGCAGTGGCAATTCCCTGCAAACTAAAAGTTAATCTAGGCCATTATATCATAAAACTCAATCTTGCCATTGTAACATGAAATTCATATTTAGTTCTCCTACAACAAGTACTCTTTATTAAGGTTAGAAGACAAACAAAGGTTGTTGCACTCTTATGGGACAACAATTAGAAACTCAAAGTTGAAAAACAAGAATCCAGATTACTGCAAATGAACTAGAAGAACTGCAAACACTATTTCATAATAAAATATGACAGAAGAAAAATAAGCTGATTTGAGATGGCCCACCATCTGCTACTTACTGTTCCCAGCGCATGTTGTTAATCAGATGGCTAAATCAATAAGCTCCCAAATTGTCTGTTCCACTCCTCATAGGTACTCAATTCATTCAAGGAAACAGAAGGTCTTACTTCTTGCATTGCATACTCAAAATCCTATACAATGGTATTCATCAAAAGAGTTTGTTCACAATGTGTATGAATTTGATGGAAAAATAAATTGCCTGCATCGAACCAACATGACAAAATGTAAACACTTGACTAAGCAGATTTTTTTACCTGACGGGTAACTGCCCGCATATCCTCTTTTCTAAGTTTTGTAATCTCAATGCCCTGTCTTAGAGCTTCTCTAAGTGGCCCCATAGATGCATCTTTTACAAGGTTTTTCATGTCTGATCCTGAATAACCTGAAAGGTTGAAGAAATAACAAAATTGCTCAAAAATGTCTGCTTATAAGACAACAAGTTGCAGGTAAGTGTTATGGTGAACAATTAATTTCACTAATTACCTTCAGTTAATTTGCAGATTGCAATTATGTCTTCTTCTGAAAGCTTGAAGAGCCCATCCTTCTCCAAAAGATTACGAACAATCCAGGCTCTTGCTTCTTCAAACCGATTTTATAGAGGTTTGCAATGTTTCAAAATATTTTAAGAATATATCCAATAAAACCAAGAAAAAGAAAATCACCTGATGATGGAAGAGGTATATATAACCGTTTAGTTAGTCGCCTGCGAGCAGCTTCATCAAGCTCTTGCGGCCTATTAGTAGCTCCTGCATTGTTTTTCAAACCATTGTCCAAAACAGAATTACTATAGCTACTTGTTTTCCAATTTGCAGCAATTATATATGGAAGATACCAAAAAAAGAGCACAAACATTTGCAAACACTAAGAAAACAAAGTTGCCATATACGACAAGCCGTAACGTCCTGACCAAATATTAAATTACCTATTAGCAGAATTTGATCATTTCCACCGTCAAATCCTTCCATTTCAATCAAAAATTGTGTTTTAAGTCGCCTGCTTGACTCATGCTCACCCTCAGACTTTCGCTGTGGTAAAAAGAAATGTTAGGAAATATCAAATTTCTATTCAAATATAATTCAATCTGTCAGACAATACCTGTGACAATAGGGAGTCTATTTCATCCACGAATATGACAGCAGGCTGACGACAGCTGGCAACTCCAAAAAGTGCCCTGACTAACTTTTCCCCCTCACCAATCTACAGCACTCAATATAACAAAAACTCACATGAAATAATATGTTTGTGCATATTCCATTGTGCAATAAGAAATTTAATAGCAAAGAACATGCAGCAAATAAAGTTTGACAAAGAAGATCATGAAAAATTATCCAGTGAATTACTAATTTCTGTTACTTTTCATATTGTATCAGCACCTTGGTTAACAATTTATCAAGAAAAGATGTCTAAACAGTGAGTTGTAAATTGATAGTTCTTGCATTTTTAATGTGTCTCGCATATTAATGTAGCTGTAGATATAACCCTAAATCTAGCCATAAATATAGATGCATATGTACTATCCAAGAACATTATAATTGATGAATAATTGTGCTTATTACACAGAGTTCTTGTTCAGAATGATGTTTATTCACAAAACAAATTTAATTTATCCGGTACATGAGCTTTTACATACACTATTTCTTCCCAGAGAAAGTGGTCCAAGTTGACTATAAAAAGAGATCTGCATAACAGTTCAAATTTAACCAACATAGTTCCAAAAGACAGAAGTGCATGATGTTCATAGTTACAGCCACCGAATGACTCAAATCTCATCTTAACTAAAGACTTGAACCCCAAAAGGTGGTATTGACACACATCAGGAAACACATTTCATGATGCACCACCCTGTTTCCCCCTTCACACATGCTTCATCAGTCTGTCCGAGACTCAAGTCAGGATGTGATGTAGCAAACTTCAAGCAATGATCATCTTTCAAATCAGTATAAAATCATTATCCACAATATTTAAAAAGGCAAAACCTTTTAATTAATAGTAAATAAACAAAAAGAAATCAAGCACCACCATTTTACGTACCCACTTGCTCGTCAACGAACTTGCTGATATATAGAAAAAAGTTGCTTTTGCCTCTCCAGCAATGGCTTTTCCAATCATTGTTTTACCTGTTCCCTATAATCATGTAGCATTCAGTTAGAATTTGATGCTGCTATTGTAGGATATGCATTTATTTGACTAAAATATACTTACAGGAGGACCAAATAACAGTAGACCTCTTCCTGGAGAACGACAACCATGAAATATGTCAGGACGTAAAAGAGGCCATATTACCATCTCTGTCACACATTTCTTAGCATGCTCCAAGCCAGCTGAATTAAAACAATGGTGAGAATATATCATAGGATTGGCAATTTCTGAAGACAAAAAATTTGACTGTATCTAATTACCTATGTCATCCCACCGGACATTAGGGTCTTTATCCATTATCTCATTACTTACATGTTCAATAAGACGAGGTTCCAAGTTCCTCAACTTCTCAGGCAGTTCACCGTCAGGACCACACAACATTTCTATACTGGAAACAGAACCTCAAAGTTAATAAACTTGGAATTATTAAGAATAGAGGACATTGACCACATTAAATCCTGGAAATTGAATATGCAGAATCCTTTGCATCCCAATACATAATCTGATATTTCAAATGCCAATTCAAAGATAAAACTAAATAACTCAAAAATTATATGTAACAGCTACACCACATTGATAGAAATTATCTTATAAAACTAAATAAACTCAAAATAATATGTATAAGTCATGTTGGATTAGTTGAAATTATTCTTTTGTTCTTATAATGTTTAAAATCTCTGTCCCATGCCAATATGGTCTTGGATGGATCAATATACACACACTTGGAATGAATCAGTATTGCATGGACCAAAGAGAAAAAGAAATTTGGGAGGACGTGGAAGAGAAGGAGAAAAAGGAGACAGAGGAGAAGGCTTATGGATAAAAGGAGGAGGAGTGATCCGAATGAGGAGCAAACGATGTTGAGAGACGGAGGAGGCGGCGACAGTGATGCGACAGGGACGAATAGGTGGTAGAGGGGAGAAAGAGAATGTGTGTGATGGAACACGAGAGAAAGAAAAAGAAAAAAAAGACAGCAGTTTGAATTATAAGTATTTGGCAGTTAGCTTACCGGCTGGTTCAGCTCGGTACCAAACTGTTTACCATTGGATAAGACTAGTACAATAAGTTTATCAAGCAACGCAACTCATACTAGATCGAGCCAAACAAAATTCTTGGGTCATGCTCTGGTTGACTGTTGGTTTTGTGAATCCTGACTCGTATAGACTGGTACAAAATGTCACAAATCGCTTGCGCAACCCTATAATACTTGAAAACTTGTCTGCACAAGTTGTCCGTCATTTTGGTTTATGTCCATCATAGGTAGCTTATAAGAGGCTTTGCAGTAGACTTGACAACCCCATTTTGGTTGAGTCTTTTGGCCATTAAGACTTGTCAGTGAAGCTCAAAAGGGGTGGTCGAACATGGGTAAAACTGCACAAAAAATAGAACCTTTAAACAGCACTGTGCAGTTATTTTCCTTGTAAAGAGATGACTTGTGAAATGCTAATCATCTCGAAACCCTGGAATCCCTGGCTGGCATAGGACTGGCAGGGTCACATGTCTTGTAACAGAATGTGGGAATGTCGTGTGGGCACTTGTGCACAGAGACTTTGAGCAGAGAGGTCTAGGCTTGGACTCCTTGTTGCACGATTGATCTGAGCTAGCGAAGGTGTCCATTTTGCTAATGAAGTATGTTATCCACTTATGCTTGTGCAATCCTGAGTTACACTTCAGTAGAGCGACAATGACATTTTGCCCCCACGAATTCACTTTTCACTATTTAATTTTCCTTCTGTGCAGGTCGTTATTGGATTACATAAGGTTATAGGGAAGTTAAACCTTTGCGAGCAAGTGACATAGAGGTGTCACATGGCTTACGCAAGACTAGCTAAATCCATGACATGATGGTATTTTAAAATTTGTTCTTACTATATATCATAGCCAGAGATGTGAAGTCAGTGATCTCTCTATTTCAGTAGTTTGTTTTTTGGTTGAAGCAACTCGAGCAACTGTCATTTCAAATAAATGTTCCCTATAATTAACAACAAGTATCACACAACATTCTTTTTTCCTATCTTGAAAAGCTTTGCTAAAGAAATAAGACAGATCCTTTCCATTAAAGATGTGACATAAACCTGGGGCAAAACAATACAGAAAAAAGTGAGATTCCTTAAATATAGGGTTTTGTTCATACCAAATGTAAAAGATGCAAGCATGAGAGCTTTGATGATATTAATTGATACATTTATGATGTTTAGTGCATATTGAACTCTTATCTCTAAATGGTTTCTCAAACCTGTAAGTTTCATTGAGAAGGTTCCCTTTTGCACAAGCCAAGGCTACTACCTAAGGAATTGAAACTACTTACTGGAATTTGCAAGAACATTAAAATTCACCTTTGGGAAAGAGTCACCATCTGAATTAGTACCTCTATTCCACAAAAAGATCATTTAGCATGTACTTGTCTCCAAACAAAAAACACAGTGTGGCTAACCTAAATTTTCTTTATTTTTCTCCATATCAAGTTAGTAATTTACTTCTTATCTCCTTTGCTCGTGAATACACAACTTAAGATAGATTGCTCCATTGGATGATTACATTAGGAGTTATGATGAAGTTAATATCAAGGACAAAATTATTTAGGAGATGATACAGCAAACTATCTCAAAATAATTTTGACACAAAGATCAAGCATGTCTCAATTAAAATGGGGCATGTCCATGTCATCAGAAGAACAGTTGATTAGATAGACACCAAATTGTTAATAATGATGTTATTGATAACAATAAAGACATAATTTCAGTTGATCAGTTGTATTTAAACTATAAAGATTTGAATAATGTGATAAATTGAATGATGGCCATCTAACTTGAACTGACGAAGAAATTTCAACATAGAAGTCAATGGCATTGCTATCGGCAAGTCTAAATTGACCAGTTTTTTCCCTTCTTTTGCCACACAAGTTTCTTAATTTTCGTAAGTCTCATTGTTTTCTGCTTTTGGTTAAAACAATGATGCAGAAATTCAATTGCGATCTCAAAATTCTAGCAATGATCTTAAAACTATTCCCTGGTTGTTGACCCTAATAGCTGAACTGATTAGCGATGTTGTAACCAAACTTTTCTGAATTTCCATTAAAAAAACCATCCTCCAGAGAATTTAATTGGATAGACAAAATATTTAGTTTACATTAGTGTCATAAAACTAATGCATGAACTCTATGCTCCATAAACCTACTCGAGCTGAATTTAGAGAATTTTCTTCAATAAAATACCCTATTTCAGTGACATTTGACTATACATAACTTATATCTTATAAAGACAGAAAACTAAGATAAAGGTTTGAATATAGACTGTAACTAACAAGACATAAAATAGTCAGGTGATACCAACCATTTTCTTGTTGAATCTTGCAGAGCATCATCACACTGCCCTGAAATCCTTGGGCTAATCATATTACCTGTATTGCCTCCACTGGATCTGATAGGTGGGACAAAGTTACCTCGAACACCACGACGGGTAACATTGCCATACCTCATGCCATAGTTTCTCACATTCCCAAATGAATTATTATTGACTTGCGGTGACACAGAGGCATTTGCATGGCCCATTGAACAAGGTCTTTGCTTAGCATCCATTTCCTAAGGACACAAGAAGGTTTATTAAAATTTAAAAGGCTACACTTATGTGTCCTTTTGTATGATGCTCAAGTCAAACAAGATATAAACTTACAAACTTCCAAAAACCTAATTATAACAACCAATAATTTAACAGAAAAAATTCCACATGTAAGGTTTTCGCTGCTTGTGATAAATATGGCAACACTCAACATGAAGGATCAAACCAGTAAGGAACTAGTATATCAAACTTCTCTGATCACGTGCTAACCCTCTTAGGCCCATGTATCATATATCTGGACTGATGGGTTATAGATTATACAAAAGAGGAGGCAAAAGACTTCCCAGAAACAAATGTCATATAGTTCCATACCAATCTCCAGAACAGATTAATCTTCAAAGCTACAAGCTTCTCATAAATATAAAGGGAGTTGAAGTAAATGATCGCATTATACCACTGCTAACATTAGACCTTACATAAAAATTACTGAAAACTTTTAGATGTTCTGCATACGAATAGACAATTTAGACATAATAAAAGAAACATGCCATGCACTAGCAAACATAGAATAGATAGAGTCCACAAAAGATCTTTTTAAAAATGAAACTACATAGCAATTACAATAAGCATCAGAAAGAAACCATAAAAGAAAGAGTGGTCTCCTAAACCTTGTTTCTCTTTGCAGCATATAACTAGTCTTTGCATTCACAAGAAGTTCTTCAAACTTACAGTATATAAATCAACTCACAACTCACTTCACCTCACAACCACCTTAATGTATGTTTAATCTCAGCTTGCACATACTCCTGAAGATATGATGCTTAGTATGCATTCATAAGTAGAAAGACTTAAAAAATTAGCAAATATAAGATCTTGGCATGCTTTCGCACACTGTATAGGTACCTCATTTTACAGGTACCCATGATAATCTTCCTTGCTGATCAGTTGCATAAATCAGTCACTTGAAACTTCCAATTTAACTAATTAAAGCTATCTTTATCACTCTATTATTTCCAGAGAATTTGGTGATGCCTTAAAAGAAACAGGAAAAAACTTTTGAATGTTTCACCCTCAAGAGTACCAAATTTGCAAATTTCTCCTTAAGATGTTTATATTTTCATTCCCTTAATCTCAAATATTTTTATGTACACTTAGGCTTCTAGAGTCAAGAGTAGCACAAGTATGAAGTTGCAACCTGCAAGTTGTAAGTCATAATATGGCATGTGTTAGAAATCCAAATAGTTGAGGATAAGTTACATATGATAAACTTAAAAGTTAAAACTGCATAAAAGGGAGAGCTTCTGAAAGATTAGTGTACAGAATCTGTGTACAAAAAAGAGCTCAGCATATTGAAAATATGTAACAAATGAAGCACAAGAAATATGATTACTTAATGTTAAATATGGCCTCTTAAGGTGAGTTGACAAATGTTTACAATCCCACTAAGAGATAAGTAACAGTGGTCTTGAGAATAATAAAACACCAAATGATTACTAAATAATTACCAATTTTGTCCTTGCGGTCACAAATCCATGGTGAGAAATATCTAGACTAGCTTCTTCATTACTTGAAGGAGACTTTGCATTTTCACAAATTGGACTTGTAAATTCTGAGTGCCGGTGCTTTGATCTTGAAGTCATTCCATGTGGTTTTTCTATCTCTTCACCTTGCAAACAAACAGGGCCATCTTTGTTTTTCAAAGAGTTATTGCTACTTGTCTTTTCAATGTCAAAAACAGTGCACTCTTGAGGAATGTCACTTTGGCAATTCCGAACTGTCTTGTAAGTCGCATTATCTGGATTTGAGGGTTTATTGCCATATATTGATGTTATTTTTGTCTGTGTCATAAGCTTTGCAGTATGGATGCTTGACTTTTCATGTTGTTTATCCAGTAGCCTCTGGTTTTCCTTGATATCAGAACCTTTAACAGCCGAAGAATTGCTACATGATGATGTGTTGTTGATCTGCTAAAACAAAAACAGAACTTATTGATTATGGAATCAATATCTACTGAGTAGTGAGTACAAGACATGATGAGCTTCGTTTCACTCTTTTGCAATCACAGCCAAATAAATTCAAGATGGGAAAGTCTTTCATTGTCCAAAACAACATTAGAACCTACAAATAGGCATGCATATTTTTCAGTAAATCAATAAAGACCACTCCTCAATCTGAATGAACATAAAAATCACATAAGTCCATACCAAATCTCCAGCAACATTTTCTTTGGACTTATTGATGAAAGTTCGGAAATACTTGGACTCCTTAATCCTCTCGATGTCAACATCTCCTTTTTTTAAAAAAATACAACCAACATCTTTTCTTGCTTGTTCAAATGCCTGTCTGAATCCATAAGATACTACATTTAGGGAAAAAAATCCTGAAGGGAAATTATAACTATTGTCAAGCTTAAAAAGTACATCAAAGTAAATTAAACATAAATTGTTACTGTCTTCTATAATCAATCAACAACAGTGAACAATTAATTATGTAACATTTAAGAATATTGTAGTTTGGTGCTGCTGTTTATTAAAGCCACTCATGTAGAGCAACAACATTCAGCCATATCAACTTCATGACATTATAACTATGATGAAATAGGCACCATCTTAGTATAATTCTTTATGCTGAAGTGCTTTAGCAAATGTAATATAGCATTGGAGCCCTTCATTCCATTCAGTTTTCACTTACCAATCTTACATTTTGGATCTAAATATCAGATTTAATCAACATCTCCTCTATCTCCTTTTTAATGACAATACAGACTATTTAATTTTTTTAAAACATTGAATATCAATGCTATCAATGGTCATTAAAGTTGTTCGTACTATTACTGACTTCCTATTAATGGATTTATATTAGAGAGATAGGAGGCAGCTTAAAATTGGCTCAATCCATCACAAATAAGCTAATCTCCAGTTGCACTTTACTCTCAGCTGAGCGCCAAGCATGACCATAATGGTTTACAACATTGCGTAGCTCTAATCCATTCCACTGAGCCAAAAATTCAAATCCGCATTGATCTTTTTTTTTTGTCTTAAAATTCATGTTTCTTTTTTCCCTAAACCGATTTCATTAAGACAGTGGAGATCAGCAAGTTTCGGCCTCATATTCGAATAGACACCAAAATGATTCAAACGGCAACCAACAAATCATAGCTCAAGAACTCAACAAACAGCACGGATAGCAACCGATTTCCTGAATATATCAAAAGAGGAAGCGCGAGAGGTACACACCGATCCGAGTCGACAGCGAGGGCGCGGGAGGCGGCGGCGAGCTTGGAGGAAGCCTCGGCGCGGATGGGACTGACGAAGGAAGCGTCAATGGGGTTTCTCGTCTGTGAGTCGAGGAAGCCGATGAGGCGGAGAGCGAGGGTTCCGGCGGCGGCGTGATCGCCCCGCTCCAGGGCGAGATCGGCGCCGAACAGGAGGGATTGGAGCCGCTTCAGTTTAACGTCGACCTCCTTTCTCCAATTATTCGTGGCGGAGGCCGAACTCCTCCCTTCTTCACCCTCCCCTCCGCTCCTCTCCTCAGCCATTTCTCTCTGCGTCGTCGCTTCTTTCCCTCTCTCACTGCTTTCGACTGTCGGTATCATCGAGCCCGATTCGATCGCGCGGGCTTTGCTAGCGGAATCGAAATGACGGACTTGACCCTACGAGGATAAAGGAACTTCATGATAAGCACCACCACGGTCCGATTTTGGACCGATTTGGTTCGACCTGGCCGGGACCGGTTTACGGCCTGTTCTTTTTTCTATTCAAAAAGAAAAATAATTCTTGTTTAGAAACGTAACAATCTATCATAACTGGAATTTACCACAGAAATAATAATAATAATAATAATCAGTAAAATGATAGTGAGATTTTTCTTTATCCTCTCCTAGCTTCAAATTATTTTTTTAGTAAGATTTCCTTCAAGAGGATATTAAGATAAATATTTTAAGATCAATCATAACGATTAGAAAATTAAAACTTGAGTAAGGATTTAGCATTTTACTTGGATTTAATTTTCTCTCTCACACACATAAAATAAATATATATATAAGTAATTTTTTTAAAAAAATCTTTATATTTGATCAATTCCCGAGAGTACTTTTATTTTTAAAAAATTTCATATAATATTTTTTTCATAAATAATCATTTTACCCGTTCCGCCCATTGGACCCACCTTCGCCCTACGCCATTGTTCTATAATGTCTTCGTCATCACCTTCTCTCCCCTCTGCCCCTCTAAACCTATTATGGAAAGACTCATTATAGCCTCTATAGTCCTCTTTCCTCGTCGCAAGGCCTCCTTCCATGGAAGCACAAAGATGAAAATGAAACCTTCACCTCTATTGAACTCACCTAGTGACAGAAGTACAATGACCACCACTACCCCCATCAACATAGGCATAGCTTATGTAGCCCCTCAGCTTACAATAAGAGCAAGGCTTCTATCTTCACCAAACTCACCAAGCGATAAAGTCGCAGTAGCCCTCATCAAACCTTCTCTCACCCCCACCTTTCTTAAGTCCTATGATAGCGGCCACCTATATCCTTGCTCACATGAGGGTGACAAGGGCCATCGTTGTTGCAAGATCGATAAAATAAGGGTAAAATAGTCTTTTTATACGATCAAGAGAGCTCTACAAAATTCTATCAAACATAGAGATTTTTTTCAAGAATTCACAATTATTCATCTTTGGCAGCTAAAACCTGAGATCTAGGTTTAGTCTTCAGCTAAAACCTGAAGAAAGAGAATTGCTTCATAAAACCTTTAGGGTTGGTTGATGAAATTACAGTACTCACTACGTCACCACAAAAATATTAGTAGACTTTTGCAAGTCCTGAATACATAAAGGTAACCATCCTTAACCTTTTCTATCCTTATATTGAAGTGGTTTGGGACATAACTCCTTATAGTTTATTATTAGAGATCAACCCCTCCATTGTTGTCAATATAAAAGATTAAAGAAGTTTATCTTAGTGAAGAATCTTGGGGTCAGATTTATATACAAGCAGGAATAGTGGTTGACTTTCTGCAATCTTTAATATATTAATAATAATAATAAGCCTTATTCAATGGTCAGAATCTCTTCATTACAAAATCTAGAAACCAGGTCTGGATATCTTTGTTTCAATTATCTAATCTTAAATTACCTGTGTAGTACACTTGTATTCAAACACTAGATCTATGATCATGTCAACCACAATCTCAAGTTTTGTTAAGGGTCATTAGTGAACTCCTTATTATAAGAACAAATAAGAAGTCACTCTGAAGAAGTATATTTCACCTCCTCAATGGGATCAGAACAAACCTATGTCTACTGTACAATCATAGCAGTTGATATCTGCAAATGATTTGGGCTGCTTCTTGTAAGAATTGAAACTTGTTTGTGCAATTGAAGTCACATAATTTCCAATTACCTGACAGTACTTCGGTTGCTACATCTCTCATTTTTACCATTATATGGTACATATAACTCTTATTTTATATGATTGTGCTCTCATTATTGCATATGATTTCAGTATGGTGGATTCCACATGATAAAACTCATGGCAGTTGATGCATGCATGCATACACTCCAATGCCTGAAGAGCAGATTGTTATTACAGTGAACATGTCTACAAACAAAAGATGAGTACGCAAAGCTCAAAATATGTGAGAGGGTGGCCGCTGATAGTGGAGGACAAGTAGCTCTCTACAAAGGAGGAGTTGTCTGCATGAGTTGAAACCCCTCCCTCAGAAGAGCTCCCATCACCCATAACTCCATGGAGGATGCATTCATCTCCCTGCTGAAGTCTCCGATCTGCAGCAGTACAGAAACATTCTCAACCCTAACACGAGCAATCCAATGAGAAGAGCAAAAATGGAGAGAACTGTGTTCGGCGTTTATACTTTGAAGGTTAGCGTGAACACAAATCCATTGGGGTTGAGGGAGAAGTTGGAGCTCTCCAGATCGAAGCACAAGAGAGACTCGACGGCGGCGTAGAGAGATGACGCCGCTCCGTCTCCCATGCTGCCCTCCACCTTCACGTAGAACCTCCCCTCGCCCACTTCGAATGCGTTTACCTGCATTATGTTGCCGCCTCTCACAGCAGCAGCCTCCTCCAAATCTGTAGCTTTGGTCGTCTTCCTGCTTGGAACCTGAAGCGGTTGGCCTTCTCGCGACGAGGACTCGAGCATGCTCACTTCCTCCTCCAACTTTTTCGCCTGAGATTGCAGATTCTTCATGTACACGACTGCGTCGGCTATGATGGAAGCTTTGTCCATCTGCACGACATCGCATTAACCATGGTCAAGCCTCTCTCCACCACAACCTGAAACAGGTGGCGAGTAACGTATCTGTACCTTCGTTATATTGGGAACCAGAGACCGCAGCTCGTACAGCTTCTCCTTCATGCGGACCCTCCTCTTCCTCTCCGATATCAGAGTCTTGGACCGGTCTCTCCTTGTCTTGGTGATCCCCCCGGGGGAATCGCCACCATCATGGCACCCTCCGCACGCAGGAGGATCGTCATCCACCTCCAAGCTAAGGTCGGGAGAGCCCGAAGGCGCATCGGCCTGCAGGTACTGGGTGGCGGTGGTTCCTTCATGGCCGCCAGCATCGAACAGCGCTCCTTCCCTCAGCAAGCTCAGATGGCCATCACCCGCGAACCCGCCGTCGAAGAGCATGAACTGGAGCAGCTCATGGTCGTAGCTCTCGAAGACGGGATCGAACCCGTCGTCCTCGTTGCTTATGCGGGCCTGTGGCGCAAAGAGGAAGGGATGGTCGCTCTCCATCGCTCGGGTCAAGCTCAGTTCCTGCATGAACACCAGCTCATATAGGGCAGTGTAAACGGAATCATTCCTGCAAATGTGAAGGGAATCGGGGTGTGGGGATCAAATGGCAGGGTGACGTTAAGGGTAGATTAGTTTATGATGGTGTGGTGGGATCAGAAGATGATCTAATTGAGAAGAACAACACAAGAATGCATGGCTTTTGTTTTGTTGTTTGGTTTGGTGGTATATGTCACAGATTAAGGTTTCATGTGTCGACAGCTCATTCCAGGAGCTGGAAGATAAATGCCATGAACAAAACCAATGGGCTGCAGATGACAGTGACAGGAGTTCAGACATCTGATGAGTGACACTGTTCTCAGCTCCAATATGAAGGGAACATTTCATATATACATAATAGTTTTTTTTTTGTATTTATTCCTCTAAATCTGATTTTTGCATATATATATATATATATTATCACTGTGAAATCTAAAAATTATATATATGTAATTGTGGATGAATTTTATCATATTAATACTCTAAAAGCTTATTATGATAAAAATTATATAGATATCATTTTTATTGTAATAAAAGTGTAGATGATGTATATGTTCTTTAAAAGATTATTGTAAGAACATTATGTGTATTTCAGATAGAATATTGGGATCTTTGTATGGAAAGGATATGTGCAATATTATAGTTAGATTCAGCAAATATGTTGTTTCCAAACTCTAAAAGGATAAATGTGTGGAAACCCCACTTGAAACTTAACCCATGGAGCAAATGATCTGAGCAATAGGATAATTATGGATGAACAAAATGTAATCACGCATAGGTACAAATAGATTAATGATTTAAGGCAGAAAGAGAATCCAATCATGCAATCTTACAGTAAGTATTTAAATTACAAGTTGTTGTCACCAGTTAAGACCTTCCCCGACAAGCATTATCTGGAACATGTGTTCATGGTCGGAGATGATTCCGCGGAGTCAAACCCAAGGAGGATGTATTTGGTTTTCTTTGTTTTGTGTGTCAGATGAATAAGACGGTCGTTCTCGGTTGACTTTTTGCTGGTGTCGGCCATCCGAAGCTGTACAGCTCGAGAGTAGTTTTGAGCACGAAGGAGAGGAAGGAGGGAGACAGAAGCTAATAGAAAACGATGGTGAGGTCTTTTGACGTTGGGAGTGCTCCCGAGTGTTGTGTGTCGCAGACTTGCTCGTTCCGAGCACGCGCACTGGGAGAGGCGGCGCGTGCAGTCCATGGATTGGAGGTTGATGTTAAAGAAAGCTAAGAGCTTGCAATGTTAGATAAATAGTAGGTGAGAAATATTAAAGATTATTGTGTAGATTTTGTCATTTTGATTTTTCATGAATTATTCAGCATTATGATTGGATTTTGAAGTTTGGAACATACAAAATTAAAATTGACGATGTGACATGATACACATTACATCTCACTAACTCTTAAAAACATATACTAATGTTTATCGATCGAATAATGATCAATAATTTTATATAATTATTTTTAATTTTACTTTATTTAAATGACTTGTAAGCTCACTATAAGAAAAAGAATTTCATGTGTATTTTTTAAATCATCTAAGAATATTAATTATTACTTTTACTTCACTATAAAAAAGAAATTTCATATGTATGATTATTTAATAAATAATATATTCATTCGTTCTTTTTTAACCAATTTTAGTTTTGAGTTATTATAATTTTCTCCATATGTACTTATCAAGGCACAGTATAGTACAAATCAAATCTTGACATAGTCATAGTTGGTAGCTCTATGTTTTAACAAGTCATTTAATTCTATCTATAATAGTCTTTTCTTATTCGAACTTTCTTATCATGTCTAAATATTAGGTCGATTCTGATATCAAATGTTATGGCCTAAGTCTAATAGGCTAATTGATCCATCAATTTCATTTGTCCTAATTTACTAGTCAAAATATTTAAAGTAAAATAAATAATAATACACTTATCAAATCCTTATAAGTCAATCTTAATCTTCGTAATGTTACAAATGCAACGTTACAAGTGGATCTCATAGTATTCTTTGTAGGATCACGAACCTCTTATTTTCCTATTGTCGAACTTTACGTAAGTTTAGATAAATAAAAATAGATTGAATGTGAATTGTTCAATCTAATGGCAACTAAATAATTTATATAGAAGCTGCACTGTGTCGCGCATGCAAGGGAGTGAAATCGGAAATGAATAGGGCAAAGATCCATTTTAGAACAGGGGTCTGAACCTTGTTGGTTTCATTTCAATAGACATTGTATAGAACAACTCAACAACCATAAAATTAGGGTTCAAGATCAACAATTTAAACGGATCCAATTAAGATCCCTGGAGTTACATTTCTTCTTTATGTAAAAAGAATTATCTGATCATCTCTTACAACAAAAAGAAACTAGAAAAGACTCAGCAATCATGCATAGATGGAGTTCGGGAAAGAGGGAATTATTAACTGCAGTTTCATTACTTGTACATGAAAAACTTAAAAAGTAACTGTAGATTAAGCTCTCCAAAATCTATGAAAACCTCGGAACAGCCCTTACAAGATTCATGTCATGTTCAAGAAATCTATATATAACTTGATAAGATGACAGCTCACATCCTGATTCAGAAACATAAATATGGCTTTATGATACTAATGCTCAATCCGACAAATCCTTATTACTAGCCAACTGCAGCATAAGTTGGATGCAGACACTTTATATGAGACGTAGAGCTAATCGGATATTTCTTGTAACATAGGAAAGCGATTGTCGTTTTTGCTCACAGCTGCACTTCCCTGTAATTGATCCAACTGAAAGGAATTCTTGGTGATTGCTTGGCTTTCCCCTGTGCTCTTTCTTCAAGTCTTCGTATCCTTGGAGCCAAAGTGCATACAAAGTCCTGGGCTTGACTTGCCTCTCCCGACAGGACACTAAGCTTCTCCAGGTTCCACCTCACGACAAGAAACTCGAGTATATCAGCGTAGTCCTTTGCAGTATAGACACCCAACCGCTGAGCCACAGCAGAGAAGTGCTCAAAGAGGTTATCATCATGTCCGTCGTACATTAGATGGGCAGGCATCGAAATCTTCTTCTTCATCATGTCTGCAAATGCAAGCATTGTCCCATCGGGGTCTATCTCGAAAAGCTTCTCCACTATCTTGGTGTATGCAGTTTCATGGCGCTTCTCGTCTGCAGCTATAGTGCCACATATCTGAGCCAGCTTCAGGTCCCCATATTCCTTGGCATGCCTGGCCGTGTTTCCATGGGATACAAAGGTAGCTCGTTCTTGAAATGAGGTGTATATGAAGCCAAGGTAGGGGCTATTCTCAGTTCTGGGATCCTATCAAAAACAGAACAAACAAAAGAAGTTGACGTGTTGACATTCTTTCCAACTAAAATTATTTACATGTGCTGGTGAAAGGCAACTTATCAATATATGCAGATTAAGTAGATTAGGAAATATTAAGTTTTTCAATCAACCAGAAACAGAAGAGTTAATATTACCCATGGCTGAGACAAAATGCAGCTTAGGGACTTCAACAGAACCTATTCTACAGTTTCCTAACTCATACGGAACATTTCTCCTTGAAAAATATAGTAATATACTAAAGTATCTATTTTCATTCCTCAAAACTTCACTTCAGATTAATAGAAAGAACATTCCAATTAATACTGGAGGACAGAATTCATTGCAAGATTCTATGGTTTTTGTCCAGAAAGTAGATGAAAGACATCAAGGAGACATAGTTGTTAGCATTTAGCACCACTCTTCCTTTTAAAAATTATTGGTTCTTGCTATTTTGTTTCAAATGAATAGCCACATATGACCAACAAAAATAGAGACAGGCCTAAATACATCCAGAATATCTTTTTGGTCTCAGATCCAATATATTGCAGGTCAAAATAATTTCAAATATATATTAAAAAATCATGCAGATTTTGTTGCTAGTGCACTTAGTCAGTAGATTAACCACAAATTTCAGGATTTTGCCCAAAGTTTTGAGGACAATATATTAAAAGATAAATTCTGGAGATCTGAATGCTGTCAAAGCCAAGTAACTTAAGCAGATCAGGGAACTTACCATTCCTGAACCAATCAGATATTGTATGGTTTTCTCAATTTGTTTCATGTTTACTCTTCCTGTCAGATACAAGTACTTGTTGAGAAGGTCACCATGTCTGTTCTCTTCAGCAGTCCATGCCCTTGTCCAGATAGCCCATGAGGTAAGGCTTGCACCGGTTTCATCTCGCACACCATCAAGGGTATTAAGCATTGTCTGGTATGTAGGAAGGGCTTCCTCTGTGATCATATCTCCAACCAAGCAAACATAATAATCATCAGGGATCTCCTTTGATCGTTCTCTCAGTTCTTGAACTTCTTCATAAAATCCATCTGAGGAAGGGTCTGGAAGAAAATCTTGTGGCTGCCAACACTTTTCAACTGGCTTTAGATGTACCAGGATGTTATTCTCTGCCCAGTCCTCTAATGCCCTAAAGATCTCAACCTTCTGAGGCGGCATAGAATGTGTAACTTGAACATGTACCTCGCGAGGAGGACAGAAGGGCTTCTTTGAAGTTTCAATTCTGATATTTTGAGAAAAAAAAAGAAGAAAATACCAAGATTATCTTCCATTAGGAATGCACTAGAAAGAGAAAATATGTCCAAGTCATGCAGTCTTCCAGAATTTTTTGATTGCAGATAACTAATGGATCATATATACAGGCACCAAAGAGAATTGTGAAATATCAGAATAATTAAGATGTAGAACCAAAATTCATCAGATAACTGAAAGGAATGCAGTTCTATATGTGTTGACTCTAGTAAAACAATCCATGTAGTTGATCCATATATTTAGCATGACAGCTTGTCAGCTAGTTAAAACCTTGTCATAGTCATTATAAGTTTACTTGATATGCACACATATACAAATGCTTGAATGGCAGTATAATCACAGCTGGAGCTTCATCATAATTATATGTGCTATACAGCTCCTTGAATCATCAGTTATGGACCAAAACTTTTATTTTTTCTCCTTGAGTTGTATGAAAAATTTAATGGAGAAAAGCCACATAAAAAGGTTCCAAAAAAAAAAATAAAATAAAAAATAAAATAAAAAATAAAATAAAAAAATAAAAAATAAAAAATAAATATATAAAAGCTAAACCATATCTGACAAGTAATTATGAGATTTGTTTTTGTATACTCAACATCTATAACTACACCGCAACTAGACATGCTTTGCAGGATAGCCCATTCTTAATCCTATCCTGCTAATCAGGATCAGGATTTGCCAGTTGGATGCTAAACCTTGGTTATTGAGGGATGGGTGAGAACATAACAGGCATGGTCCTATGCTGTGAAATACAGAATTCAAGATATACATTGATCTTAGACAGCAAAATGTCTGAGTGACCTTGCTCTAGAATACCCCCAACGTCACAGAAAAAGGACTAAAATGATAAAAGGAAATCAGCTTGATCAAGAAAGGCAGAAAAGCTAGGATGTTACAAGCTAGAAGGTTATTGATGCAACTATCCTAGCAACAGATGGATTATTAATCACATGCAATGGAGCACAGTTGTTTATGTTCTTGGTTTACTCAAAACAACCACTAAGCTTGACCCAGAAACCTTAAACTGTGAAATGATTTGATTGAGATGCAAAGTTCTTTTATTTGTTATGATACTAGACACATGTATACGATTACTATTGTTCCAACAGAAACTGAATCAGGATGGACAACACATACATGGAGATGTACAACACCAAAAAATTTAACAAGGAATTAAGCATGATTTTCATGACGAAAGGAGAGAGTTTCTTGCAAACAACCTAAATCCATTGTGGCTGATTATATTATATAGATGTCAACTTAGCAAAAAATTAATGACTTATTACTATAGGAGATGCAGAATGCATGTAGCAACATCAACATTTAGAATAAATGAGCTATGGCTATAAGTAGTTAATCCCTGTCCTGAACTTACCCATTTGACTTGTAATATGTCCGTTGTCATAAGTACATTCGAGTTATAGAACAGAAAAAAATTACTACAAACTTACCCATTTGACTTGTAATATGTCCGTTGTCATAAGTACATTCGAGTTATAGGAGAACAGAAAAAAATTACTACAAACTTATATTGATTAAATAGCTGGGTTAACTAATAGAAAATCTGATTGCGATTGACAAAAAAGAAGAAGATCAGCACACAAGGCACCCTCCAATACATGTTCTAAGGATTGCCTTACTTCTTAAACTTTGCCTAGCAGAAAATGCTTTTCAAAGGTTTTCTTTTACATGAGTTATTCATGGAAAATTAACCTGAAAAGAGAAGAAATATGCATCGCCAATAATTTTAGAGTGAGAAATATCATATTCATGGTCTTAATGCTTCACTCCATGTACTTGTCAAATAGTTTATATCTCACACAATGCTATGAAATTGTAGCAAATTTTCTGATAATATAATTGGGAATAGATAAGTTGCAAAAGAAAATTTTTGGAAGCTAAAGCAATCATATATGCAACCACAAGTAAGCACCACAGGTGGAGTTCAGAAACAGCATTAATAGGGATTACTAGACATAATTATTCAAATTCATTAACTACGTACACGATAGAGAAAGTCCAATAATTTAGATTTGTACCAAGGAAAACAAAGCACATAATATTCTATCTCCAAAGCTGGCAATTACTATATCCAAATTGAACAACAAATTTCAATACCTTGATGCCTAATTCACAAGTATCATTATGAAAATTCTGAAATGTAAAGCTGAGGTATACAACCATGGTATGTATATGATACTGATCTGTAGATAATTCATCATTTATGAATAGGCCCAAGCCAAGCATCAAGCATATTCCTTTCTCATCTATAACTTCTTACCTCATACTTCCAACAATTACACACTTGATATTGACCTCTCTGAAAAAGGTTATGCCAAACACTTGAGGCCACAGATTTTGTTGTGGCCTCTCCGGTACGTCGGCACCACCAAAGTTATACGGTAAGAAGATTCTTTTCTTTAGAGTTAAATAGAACAAACACATGCGAACAAGAAGCTAGCGCCAGATTCTTGGCAGCATTCAACAACTCACGGTCATCAAACTCAAACCACAGAAGAAAACAAACATTGTGTCCAAACCAAAATTGCCAGAATCCCAAAAAAAAACGAACTTTTGGACAGGGCATCCTCGAGAGAACAAGTCACGCATGCATCAAAGCTCTTTCCTCATAGGCAAAACGACGGGCACGGAGACTAAAACCAAAGCATACTACCTGAGCCATTTCAAATGATGCAAATAGCAGATCAAGCACCATAAGATCGATCAGGATGAGCAAACAAACACACTCATTAATAACAATATATCTGGAATCGAATAATTCAACGGCCAAAGAAGAACAAATCGACTCCGAAAATGTTGGAACCAACTGCAATAAGAGCGAAACACTTCCGTATCATCAGATCGACAAACCCAAATCGCTTAAATCACGATGGCACCTCGAAGGAACAATTCAAATGCAACACAGGAGCCGATCGAGACCGATCACGAAGCCTGCACCCGCAGGAGCGGAACCAAAAAGCTTCCGATGGAACAAAGGGGAGCTTTTTTCTGGGGGCGAAAGGAGCTCACTTTGCGGCGGAAGCACGGATAGCGGAGGTCATGGAGACCCTAGGGGATCCCAGGTTCGGCTTGGGAGGAGTGAGGACGAGGGAAATCTTCGGTGGAAGGGTCACTCTGAGAGCCATGTCTTCGCTTCGTATAGCTTCTCCCCACCTTCTCCTATCTCCTCTCTCTTTCTCTCGGAGCCTTCCCTCCTATTCCAACGCTCGAGGAGACGGAGAGGAGACCGCTGCCTTTGTTTCTTCTTTCGGGTGCTCTTCTTGTTCATACGCTCGACTGAATTTACAAAATCACCCTTCGTCGTATTCGAGGCATTCGATCGATCACATTGCGTTCCTCTCACATGCAATCCGAGTGATGTCACCATTTAGCAGACATATTTGAGTGATAAGTTTCCTAAAGCGTTAAATAAACAAAATTCAAGCTATAGTGGATGACATTTACACACTCTAATCTTCTATACATAACACATTTTAAGATGTGCGAAGAAATATTGTTCCTATTAACATTTTCGATCATAAGCATTTTTTTTGCCATTAAATATTTTTTACTTTAAAAATAAAAATAATAATAATAAATAAACAAAACTAAGAGATCGAGTAATAAATTTGTTTGGATGATTTGTCAATAATAACGATAAAATTAATTATTGATTATCTTTTATAATTAGTTATCATAGTATCTCGATTCTTATACTTTTAAATATTATATTCGATACGAAAGTAAAATATTTAATTTTATTTCTTTTTACTCGATCTGATAGAAATATTATATATACTTAGTGGTAAATTAAAATGAGAAAAAGTTAACGTATGTTCAGTGATAAATTATATGATATTTTGGTCAACAAAGGTCAAAAAAATAAGATTAAATATTTTTATTTTAGATTTTAATATAATTTTAAAAATATAGAGATCGGAATGATAAAGATAATTAATTACATGAGTAAATATATAAATATAAAGTAAATATATAAATATAAAGAAAAAAGAATGGTTTTCCGAAGTTAACCATGCGACCGTGGCATGGTTTTCGTTGTACAAATAATAAGTTGCATCTCGGCTTAACACGTACGGGTAGTCATAGAAGAAGGACCCGAGAGGAGGGGGTGATGGCGGAGAAGTTGGCACCGGACAAGCGCCACAGCTTCTCCCATGGCGGTAAAGGCCTCGATCCCTCATCGGAATCTCCTCTGTCTTCCTCCGCGGTTGCTGAGGTTTCCGAATAGTTTTATTACGTGTTGCTGGTTTCCATCATCTAGGTCAGAAGGTCTTCGAATGGGATCAAACCCTAGATGAAGTCAACATCTACATCGACCTCCCTGCCAATGTCCCCAAGAAGCTGTTCTACTGCAAGATCCAGTCCGCGCACATCGAATTGGGCATCAAGGGAAATCCTCCTTATCTCAATGTATGCGTTTCCTTTCTCTAGTCATATGTTTGGTTGATTGTTGATAGTCCCTTTTCCTCAATGCCTTCAATTTGTTGTCAGCATGATCTCGCCTGCCCTGTGAAGACTGACTCGTCGTTTTGGACCCTTGGTAATATGTCCTTGTTCTTTGCAAGTTTTGATTTCTTTTCCTCGTCTCAATTCTTCGTCGTTTCATAAGGGCTTTGTGGTGATTTTATTGGTAATGGAATTGGTTGGTTAGATCAAGCTAAGTGCTGCATTTAGTTAGTTAATGTGGGGAATCAGACAAGCCCTAGATTAAATGGCATCAGATTATTACTGGTATTTAGAGTTATTTATCAACGGTGAGAATAACACACTGTCACTGAATTTTTTTCTCTGGTCGATTTGAAGAGAAGCTTTAAGTGCCAGTTCATCTATGCTTGAGATTTTAAGCCTCTTTGATGTATCAGTTTATTGCTTTTTTTTTTTGGTCTTTTGTCCTAGTTTCTGTGCCTGGTATCTGTCAGCAATACATTTTTAGTACATATACTACACTTTATAAAATCATCCTAAACTTTTTTCTTTTTTGGTGCGCATGCATGTGTCCAAGCTTGTTCTTTGTATTCAACACCTTTTACGTTCTTAACTTGCAAAAGATGCTTGTGTCTACTAAATATATATGCATACATGATTAGATTTGAAGCTGCTGATGGACAGAACCTAAAATGTCGAATACACTTGTTATTTGTTCCATTTTTTACTGTCGTGCTAATTTTGGGCTACCCACGAAACTTTGTTAGAATTTTTGAACATAAACTGAAGGAATAAAATATTTGATTCATGCTAATATCCACCAATATTTTGTATAGTGTTTGTCAAAATAGTGTGGGTTACAAATGATCTTGCATAACTTTCATGTCGGTATCTATCTACTAAAAATTGAACAAGTCCTTTGCAGGTTGTCCACAATCATAACTGTGAATAGTTCTTATATTCTGTCTTCTTATGACAAAGTAGCACAATTTTTTTTTGGAAATGTCTTTGTTGAGAATGGGAAGGAGGATATCTAGCCCTCGACTTTAACAAACTGATCCACTTTCTTCATGGTATTCAGCAATAGCAGCTTGCAGCTTTTCATCTTTGTTTTTGGCTTAAGAGTACAAATAGGTTGCTAGCAACTAGCAAGAGACAAGTGGTGAAAGGTTGAGCTTGGATGTGAAGAGATATAATGTCGTCTTTATTAACTTAAATGGAATTTCCATTGCAACTTATCATGATTAAAGGAAGGCTTTTGAGAAGTGAAGGATTTTGAAGAACTTTTGCAAAAAAAAAAAATTATACTGTTAATTAAATGGGTAATCTAGTTTATAATGTAACATCTCGATTAGTCCCACATCGAAAGTGAGTAAAACTAAGATTGACTTATAAGGGTCTGACGAGTATACTACTATCAATTTCAGCTTAAACATTTTGATCAGTGGTTTAGGTTAAACGAAGTTGATAGGCCAATTAGCCTATCAGGCTCGAGTCATGACATTTGGTATCAGAGCCGACCTAGTATTTGGGCATGGTGAGGGGGCTCGAGTAGAAAAGGGTTATCCGTGGATGGAGTTAGAGGACTCGTCATGACGTTGAGTCACCACTGGGCTACATCTCACATGCACTATGCTAGGGTTTGATTTGGTCTATGCTGGGCGTTGACGAGGACGTAAAACCCTTGAGTGGGTCTGATGAGTATATTACTATCAACTTCAGCTTAAACATTTTGACTAGTTGTTTGGGTCAAACGAAGTTGATAGGCCAACCCATTAGGGCTCGAGTCATGACACATGGTCTCCAACCATCATCAGGTTGTGAAGGGTGGAAGGCCCGTAGTCTTATCTTCCACTACAAGGAGAATGCTTCTGCTTATACTGTGACATTCAGGAAATAGATCTACCTTACCACTGAACCAAAGGCCCATCCATAGTAAGAGGAAGCCTAGTGCAAGAAGTTTCTGCCATGGCATTGGGAGGATAGGATATGATGTTCAGGAAATACATGTATCTTACACAGTCATGCTATTTTTACTACAAAATGGGAGGTGCCTTTTGGATTGAGCAACCAGTTTAACCAGGTGATATTTACAAGAGGGTCAAAGAGGACAAACTAAAGGATGCCTCATCATCATGTAGGATAAGTTGAAGGTCAGTTTTCTTGGACAGGAGGTTAACTATATCTTTTTTGTTGTTAGTTCTGATTGATGATAAAATGAGGAAAAGCCATTTGAGGTGGTTGAATGCATCTGTCAGGTAAGATGAAACATTGCAGATTAGTGGTGGGAGGAGAAGGAAGATTTAAGGAGAAATAATTAGAAAGGGTAAGATGGGATTAGTGGCTCTTAATTTAATTGGTTATATCACACTTAATAGAGTTCAATAGTCTTCTCTTTTTTTAGTATGAAAACTGATGACATATTTTCTTATCTTCTACAAAAAAGAGGATGAGATCATGCATGTAACACTACAGAAGAGGGACAAAGGACAAACTTGGTCATCCCCCATACTTGGTCAGGGTGCACTGGATCCATATTCAGCAGATCTTGAACAGAAGCGCCTTATGCTTCAGAGATTCCAGGAAGAGGTAAAGTCTGATTTTCTTGCTTATTATGTCTAAAAGGGGCATGGTTTTGCAGTGTGTTTTTGGTTTAGCCGTGTCTCAACTCCTGATAGGAATATGCTTATGCTTCCTACCGGTCTGGTTATTCTCCTAGTAGGTTATGATTTTGTGGCATTTGTTGCATGACCTATTAAATCTTTATATACTTATGATGAACTTTCTGGTGCTAAACTTAGATTACTGATGAAACTCAATTTAGGCAAGTTTATTGGAAAGAACAAATATATACTTTATCCTCATTTTTACTTGTGTAAGAATTGGGAGCTCCATGATGGTTGATATGCAAAGAATAGCTTAATGCTTAGAGGCTACATCCATAGAATTGGATCATATTATTCAATCTGCTTGGAGTTATTCTTTCACTTGAACTAACATGTTATGAAGTTTAGATTATATTATCACAACACAGCTTTAGGATTGCCCATGACAATCATGCCAAACAGTGTACCAGCATGGTATTGGTGGCATGGGGCATGGTGTCATGCCAGGTGCCAACACTTTTCTGCTATGCTCAAGGTTCGCTGGTTCTTTGCACCATGGCCTCTAGTAGTGTACTGGAGTGCTTTGCACTTTGCAGGGAGAACACGATATAAGGTTTTGTAGAGTAAATTTGGAGAAATGCAGGAATCATAGAGGCAGTGAGAGAGGAAAGAAACAGAGGCCCATGTTACTAATGAAATCTTTTTTTGATTAAATATTTCTTGTACAGCTTTTTTTTTAAATAGCTGATCATTTTTCTGTGAAGTATGTCAACCTGAACTAGAATTCCTACTCTAATTGAAACTCCAGACAAAGAAACTAGAAAAAGAAAATGTCTTTCTTATAATTGAGTCATCGGAGGTTGTTGATTTTGCTTGAAGCTTTATTATGACATGTGTCATTCTTCCTCAGTATTTCCTTTTTATTATATATTTGAGCTCTTTCATATTACCCTATAAGAAATTCTTACCTGCTGAATACATTTAGAAGATTAAACACCCAAATAGTTTCATTTCTTATTTAACTCCTTAATGCATCTGTCTGAGAATAGCAAGCAACTTAACCCTCAAAGTGCTTTTAGTTAAGGGTAAGTATCTATAGTATTAAATTTAATCAACCATTTTATGGGTTGAAATCTGAAATGTAAAATTCAAATAATTGATCCCCCACTTTATTCCCTCAAACGTGGCGGGAAGAAATATGTTCAACCAAACGGTTTTGATAAAAAAAATGCTGATAATCCTTTTTCTTGAGGATAAATGTCTGTTGCTCGGCAAAACTTTCTCGATACTAGTTGTTGGGGGGGCAGGAGGGCGAGGCGGGGGGAGGGAGGGTGGGGATGTGTTGCAGCCGGGGGTTTGTAAACAAGATAAACAAGAGAACAGCTCTTGTCGAAGATATAATATTTCTGATAAGTTCAAATAGGGGGCATTACAGATTCTCTGATTTAATAGGGTCTCGATAGATTTCCTTATCTTATCAAATAACTTATCAGTTATTACAAATATTAGCCTCAGTTGTGGACCTTAGGCAATTTAACTGAAGCCTTCACAGTTGTCTCAATTATTCAATTGCTTCTGCTGTCTAATGGTCTCCCTATATTCTGCATTTGAACTTGAACTTAAGATTTATGAGTTTGAATTACAATCTTCAGCTTGTGGATGAAATTGGATCCTTGAAGTTATTTTGCATCACAAATAGTGCCATAGACACATTCATCGACCTAATTAGGTTCATTGTGCTTGCTTGTTGTATCATCGCATATTCTTTCAAATCCTGTCTTATTGTTTGGATATTTGTTTCAAAGAAAGGAAAAAAGAAAGCAAAAGAAGTTCAACTGACATAGCAATGAGCTCTTTGTAGTTATATGCATCTTTCTTTTCATGTAAGCCATTGTTATGGGGCATCATCTTCTTCATGAGCATCACATGACCCATATGCCACTGAATCCTATATCAATAAGGAGTGATTTCAACTCAATCTCCAGCAGGAATTCAACATAAATTGTAGATTGGGAGGGGTTGTGAAAATGCTAGTTCCACTAAAACATGATTATGTTAATGAACACGAGAGAGGGTTAAATACCCAGGATTCTGTGGATTGTCGGCCTCGTCTAGGCTTAAATCAGGGTCAGCTCACAATCATTTCACTCCATAACAGCCATAAATAAACTTTCATGATATGCTGTTGGTTTATGACATTGCTTTATATAACAGGAGGCAATTTGTGGTAACTTCATACTAGAGTTGTGTAAAAATATAGATGGCAGGCGTTTCATTATTAAATAGAACTAAGACCAAATATATCAAATACAAGTTTAATAATACAAAGAGAAACTTTAGAGGTATTAGCAAAACACCTGTCATCCATTCATGTGGTAGGTTAACCAAGTTTTGCTAGCAGATTGAAGCTTAAACTTGTATTTCTGGGGCCCAGTGATTTCTACACTCTGTAGAGGTCTCTCCTAGTCATTAAGTGATAATTATATTAACTACTCATAAATTTTTCCAGCAAATTTTACCCTCCAATCTTCTCTGCACATATTATAATACAATTTTTGGTCCTTCCGAGACCAGTAAAGTCGCACCAAGCTCTAATATCTTCATTTTCGTTGTCAATTTGCAGAATCCAGGTTTCGACTTCTCTCAGGCTCAATTCACTGGGACCTGCCCTGATCCAAGGACCTTCATGGGAGGCGCGCGCTCCGATTGAAATTTTTTATTTTGATTTGTTGGCACTAGCTAATTATTCGGAGCATCTTGGTGATTCTGTGTTGCTTTCGCGACCACATATCTACCCAACATTTGTGAATATTGTCTAAACATGGATTGCATATCCGACTATGCCATGTAGACAAAATTGCCACTCTACGACAGCAGTAGCTGACCATGACATCAAACTGTAATGAATATGATATGTGAATGCTTGTATGCTGCTGAACTGCTAGTCAGTCAGTCCAAAAAATGCCCTCTTTAATTCTCATGATTTGTTGCAACAGCAATATTTTTGCAAAATTGGTCTTTTATTTGCTTGACCAATGACCACTATATTAGCCAGCTAGTTTCTGATGTTGTAGAACGACTTCCAAATCTAACTGCTTATATTGGATTTGGGGTTAATTCGGAACATCTATCATTGACTTGTCATTGTTCTCATGTAACTTATAACAGAAATTCTAGGTAAATTTTCTATTGCTGGTTGTCACAGTACTGTATTTATTCGCTGTTTCAATAAACGTCATCAGTAGAATGATAAGAAATGACTGCAACTTCTAATTCTTAGCATGCGATAGATACTGTGATTGATACCCTGCATCTTCATGGTATATATTTGCATAGTATATTTTGTAGTAGTAAAAAATAATTAATTATGAAGAAAATATTATTTTTTATAATATTATTTTTTTATATATCTAAAACAAGGTTTCATACTCTTTATAGATCTATTAAAAGAAAACATGAAAGCATCCAAAATATTTTTAATTCTCTCGCTTACCATCCTTCAGATACAAGTTTTTATAGAACAAGCATTTTCTGATTCACAAAAAAATATTTTCCCATTTGAATTCACAGTTCTTCAAATAATTTGAATCGTATTAGAATATGAAATTATTGCCAATCCTAACGTACTTTGTCTTTAAAATTTGGGTTGTTATGTCCGTTGTCGGATCGTGTTTGCGATTGTACCCGTTTGCAGCGACGCAGGTTTAGCAATCCTACTTCGGAGTCAAATCTTAAAACCAAGTAACCCTCGTCGTCGCAACACCCCTCTTCTCCGCAGGAAGCGGCGCATAAAGGACGCCTCTCGGCTTCTCTGTTCCTCGCGCCGTGCCCTAAACCCACCGTTTCGTCTCCGATGGCGAATCGTGAGTGAATCCCCATCCTTTGTCGAATCAATTCCTTCGATGGTTCTCTGTCTCGATCTTAATCTCTTCGACCGATAGATCGCTTTTGTTTGGCTACTCGTAGTTTCTCCTGAGGTTGGGTTTTGGTTTTGGTTTTGGTTTTTGGCAGCCATGGTGCGTTCTTTTCTTCAAGCTGTGTCCTCCGAGGAGGTTACGCCGCCTCTGCGAGTTGTTCAGATGGAAGGGCTGGTAAATCTTGAATCATTTTATGTCATTTTCCTTCCCTTTTTTTTTTTCTTTTTAATCCTCCGTCCATTTTGTTTTGGCGAACTTAAGGTTACAATTCAATTTCCGAGGACAAGTTGATAAAAAAGAATTAGGATGTAGTAGCTGACGTGAGAAAATGCTTTTATATTTTTTCCTCATCAAGCTCGTTGTTTTGTAGTCTTCAATTTGAGGGAGTTTTGCGCAAAAAAATGGAATTCGTCGTATGGACCTGCTCGAAATTTCATTGCACTAGTTTATGTTTCGTATGATATGCTAGATTTTTGCTTTTGTTTGGGAACTTGTATTTTTTCAACTCATCCATGTACGTCTTTTGAAAAAGCTATGGATCAATTGTTGCTCTGGTATCTTAAATTTACTATACTGAAGATTTGCCTAACTATGATGTCAATTCAGACAGTTTGATTCTTATGGTATCGAAGATGTTGAGGGGGTTTTGCTAGGAAACTGGAGCCAGGAGAAATCTGTTTCGTTTCTCCTTGGGAATGGTGGGTGAGCGGTGGTGGTAAAAGTTGTAAGCTTATTCTGGGTGAAAAATCGATGAAGCCTTCCATATATGAGTCTACATGTTTCCTGGAGAGTCCAAAGAGTGTGTTAAAACATATTGGGGGCCATTAGAGACCAAACATGCATAGTATACTGAAAGTATTCTATGAGTCTTGTATGGATCATGCTGTATGGTTCAACATGTAAAAGAAGAAAAACATAATCGACACTCACATGCATTCAAACACTGGTACTCGTATGCAATTTATAGTTAGAAGGATCAGATTTAGCTTTCTACCGAGCAGAATCATTTTTTTCAAAAGTAAAGGGTCATCTGTTATTAACCTATTGCACAGTCAAACTTGTTCTAAAATTACCCTATCAAAATATTGTCATAGACTTTTTTTTGGAATATAATTTGTTACTTGTGCTATGCACATCATGTAGTGCGAATGGGACCTTCTGCCTTTGTGCTATACTTTAAATCCAAATAAATGGTCAAGAAAACAGATAGGCCATGATTGATTCTTCCGGGGACTTGGAATTCTTACCAATTGCTCTTATATTTTGATTAAGATATAATTATGAAAGTTCTTGCTTGCATGTGCTACTTAGTTCTATTATAAAAGAAGTCTCTCACAGAATATATATTCTCTGGTTGTTTCTGTGCAGGCCGTTCTGAAGATAATTAAACATTGCAATGAATTCTCGCCAGCTCTTGTCACAGGTCAACTTCTTGGTTTAGATGTTGGCAGTGTTCTTGAAGTGACCAATTGTTTTCCTTTCCCGGTATGAAATGATGTCAAATCTTAGACCAAATAAGTTGCAACCATTTAGCAATGTCCACGGATGTTATGCTTTCTCTCATTTTTCTTCACTACCATGTCTAAGACAAGGGAAGAAGATGAGGAAGTTGAAGCAGATGGGGCCAACTATCAGCTGGAAATGATGAGATGTCTAAGAGAGGTTAATGTGGACAATAACACTGTGGGATGGTATGTTATTAATGTTCCTTTTTTAGTAGAGTTCAACATCATTATGGATGACAGTGATGATTCATTTTGAGGTTATCCTTTTACTTGTTTTGGTCTTCAATTTAATCATTCTATAAAAAATATGACTTTCATGAGTTATTTCGTTTGCTAGATGTTGCTTATCTGTGGAAACATTTTGCTAACCTTTAGCTGTCCATTTATGCATTCTGGAAGCCTTCTATTGCTAGATTTGCCCTAGGTTTAGGCTTCAGTCTTACTTGCAACCTTTTTAAATTTGAATCAACCTGGAACAGTCTCCATATTGATGGGAATATGGTTGTGAATTATTGAGTTTTTAACTGTTTAAAAACCTTGGAAAGTAGGAAAAAGCTTAGCCTGCTGAACTTTGTTAATGTGTTCAAAGTTTGTGGTGAAAGTTGGAAAAAAAATCTTTTAATTATTGTCTTTTTATTTATTCATTGACTACATTTCTTTTGGGAATAAACTAGATATTTTATCTCATTGGCAGAGAATCTGTTTATACCAAAGTCCTAACATTTAGGATCTCCAAGCTTTTCCTCTACCAGCTAACTGCCTTCTATCTTCAGGTACCAGTCAACTTTACTGGGATCTTTCCAGACTGTGGAGCTGATTGAAACATTCATGAATTACCAGGTAATGTGAAGATCCTTGTCATACAGTCCCATGAATTTCATACGATTGTAGGATGAATAGCTAAACGTAATGAATGAGGGACATAATTTTGCGTACTTTCTGATCATCAAACAGCTGGAGACAGCAATTTCTTTTTCGATTTTTTCATGTAAATATTAAATAGTTCATTTTTTATGTTTTCTTTCTTGTATTACTTTTTCTTAAACCGGTAAAAACACATTATTTTGTCCTATATTAAATGAAATTTAGATATCTTTGAGGATTTCAGGTCTTACCATGTTGCTTAAGTCCAGAACTGCAATAGTAGGTTGAATAGTTATGATAGTTTGTAGGATCAGATACTGATAGTGCAGTGATGTTGCCTTGTGATTGGGATGCAATGGGTCAGTGGCATGAAGACTTTTAGATAAGCCAAGGGTGTCTAAGAGATATACCAACTGTTTTAAATGCAGATGGGTGGCAACATATAAGCTTCACCAGCATGCTTGGTGTTTATAATATGTTGGCACGTTTCAAACACAAGATTCTTGGCACCTGTCAAAAGTATGTTAAAGCACTGAACAGACCCATGTGCCTTGGTATGTTGACATGGGATGATATGAACAGAACTTTCTCAAACTCAAAGAGCATGCTTCCATAAACTGGCAGCTGACTCTACATCTAATATAAGTTATGTTCTCTTAGCCGTTAATACTCTTTTGAGATAACAGATAAAGTTAAATGATGGAGAACATCTTAAGTTTTAAAAGCAGAGTAACGTCAAGATCAAACTAATATGAACCAACCCATAAGTGCAACTTAGTCAATACAAGATTAACTTTGAGACATCAGTCATGAAGATCAATCAGTTTGTTTCTAATTAATAAGTTTGGTGAATTGCATAATGACATTTAGCACCATTTCAACTGCTTATTTTTCTCATCCTAATGGTTGGTGATATATTTGGTTTGTCATATTTGTTCTTTATGTTGCTTTAGTTACTATTAGATGAATCACTGTTATTCTTGATGAAAATTTTTGATCTCAGGTTATTGTTATATAACATTTTTATTCACACAGGAAAATATTCGAAGATGTGTGTGTATCATATATGATCCATCAAGGTCTTCTCAAGGTGCTTTAGCTCTCAAGGCCTTGAAACTCACAGATTCGTTTATGGATCTTTACCGCAACAATAATTTTACCGGGGAGAAGTATGTTTTCCTTTGTGATCTAAGTTAATCAAGTTGTTGATAGTTAATTTTCTCTGTACTATGCATGTGATTGCTTCATTTTTAGGCTGAGAGAAAAGAAGCTTTCATGGGTAGATATCTTTGAGGAGATACCTGTGAGTTGATTATCTCAAGCTGTCACTTGAAACTTCCATTCAATGTTTTTTTTTTGGCAAATTTGAATCACTTGCTTGCTCATCTTTTTATTAGTTCTATGTCGTATGTCGTAGAAGATCATAGATACCATCTTTTTAACATGTGTTCTATACTTTTTTTTTCCTCTTATACTTGTTACTTTTGTTTGTTGATTGGACAGATTAAAGTTTCTAATTCTGCACTTGCAAGTGCATTCATGACTGAATTGGAGCCTGAATCCCCTGTTGCACAGGTCTGATAGCTCCTCCATTGTAGTGAATGATCTACTGAATCATTCTGTGAGTTTCTAGTGTTGCTTTTCATGCTTGTAAGTCTTGAACACATGGAGATTTTGTGACAGTGTGATTATGATCGACTGAAGTTATCCACTGCTCCATACGTGG